TCCCCAGTCAGGCCTGCAGGGCATGGCGGGCACAGGGCGTGCATGGCTCCACTCACCTGCAGAGCAGACCAGAGTTCACAGGCCTCCCTGTCCCCAGACCCCTTCTCTACCATGTCCATCTGGGGTTGAATGCGCTGCCGGGCATAAAATTCGACCCAGTCCTTCTGCCAGTCGTTCACCTGTGCAGGTAACAGCAAAAGAGAAAGCAGACCTCACAGGAAAATGCCAGAGCTGAAGAAGGTACCCCAAAGTAGAAAGGGCTGGTCATTAGGGGTGCCGCTACAGGGATGGGTGTGAAGGGGTAGGAGCTGACTGGGCAGCATGGGGCCTCTTGGACATGCTGGGACCTTAGATCCTGTCCCAGGAGCAGTGGGAAACAAGGGGGCCCTTTGCAATGTGGAGCAGCAGGCTCCCCTCTGAAGAGCTCTAGGACGTTTTCTTTCAATCTATACTCACAGGGGAACACAGGGGCCAGAGCTGCTGGCCTTCCCTGAGGCTTCCCTAGGGCTCATTTCTGACCATCCACCTGGGCACGGAGGACCCCTCTTCAGTCTCTCTCAAGCAGCCAGCACTGCCCTCTTCAGAGAGTGATACGATGAGAAGTCATGCGGAGCCCCGTCCAAAAACACCTCTGAGAGAGGACATCCAGGCCACAGGTGTTAACCACCCAGGAAGGAAGCAAGACAGACAGATGCAAGAGCAGAGAAGCACAGGGGGCAGTATGTGACACCAAATGACAGAGTATCATGCACACACGCATGCACCCTCACATACTGTCACACGTGTGCACATATGCACCCCCAAATGTACGTATACGTGCACACACACAGTGAGGTACAGGCGGGAGAGGAAGGAGCAGAGCCAGCTGAAGCACCCCCGCAGCAGCATGGAGCAGCCAGGACCAGGGAGCCCTAGCCATCAGCCACTCGCTACCCTAGGCAGGTTCCCGGACAACCTCCCACAACATTTCAAAATCTGACTTGTGTCTACTGCACCCCTTGCCCCCAGAAAAATCCCTGGAAGTTTTCTAGATTCCTCAGTATTCCCCCTTCCGAGAAGCCACCTGCCTGTCCTGAGAGCACAGCCAACATCCGAGCCCCTGTGCCTTTGCTGGGCGTCAAGCAGGACTCCCCAGGCTGAAATTCCCAGGGGCCAACCGTAACACCATAAACCTGGAGTTACAATCCCTTTTCATTATGCTACCTTTGAGAATTTACTATGTAAAATTAAACATTCTTTAAATTTCTAATTTTTGCCCACCTGGAAATCCAGCATCCTAACTTGTTGGTCCTTCTCTGTTTCTCGGAGCTTACCTAGCATGTGAGGTAGGTAAACCTCATGTCAACTTCTTACAAATTAGCAAAGAAAAAAGGGAGGATTTTTACTAAATTTCACAAAAAAGGGAGAGGGTGTGTTTTCCCTAGCTGTTTCTGAACAGCTGACCTGATTGGGAAATGGAGGCAAAATGCTCGTGTCGCTCACCTGGGGGAGGTATCCACAGCATGTCACCACGTCAAACCCAAACTGGTCCACAAAGGGCCGTTCCACCTGCCCACCTCCTCTCCCTTGAAAGCAAAAGGAACACAAGAAGGATAACTAGTACCTTGCCCCCCACAGGCCCACTGTTAGAGCTCAGAGCAGCTTTGAGGCCTAACCTCAGTGTGCCCTCCTTCACCCCCTGTCCTCATCCAGATACAAACAAGGGCCCTGGTTTCCACCAACCCTCAGGACCGAGGAACAGAGCCTGTTCTGTCAGACTTAACACTTCAGGACACCCACTACTTCCCAGAAGAGGCACCAGAGGATGCTCAGAGGAGGGACAATGTTGCATCCAAAAAAGGAGGAAAAAATCTACCCCATCAGCCATCAGAAAACGATGGCCAGGGGCCGGCCCCATGGCCTAGTGGTTAAGTTTGTGTGCTCCACTTCAGCGGCCCAGGGTTCGCAGGTTAGGATCCCAGGTGCAGACCTACACCATTCATCAGGTGGCAAACCACACACAAAATAGAGGAAGATGGGCACAGATGTTAGCTCAGAGCTAATCTTCCTCACCAAAAAAAAAACAAAAAAGGCAAGGATGGCCTTCCATGGCCAGCTTAGCATTTGCCATTTCTGAAAGATAAACTGCTATGCTTTGAAATGGTCTCATCGTTTGCCACTCCGCAAAGTCAAAGCAAATCCTAGGGACTAAGCTACATGTGGCTTGGAAGGGACAGGCTGTCTGTCCAGCATAGCAGATTCTCGCAGGACAGGAGTCTGCCAGGATCCCTCTAGCACAGTCATCTGTTTCTGGTGTGTCAGCTACTCTGCCTAGCAGAGTTACCCTATGGGCTACACATGGATCATCAAATCTCCAAGGATGAAAATACTGGAAGATACCTCAATGCTAACACCACACTAAGCTCTAGAAAGGCAGACACGAGGGCTGTCATTCTGAGCCTCACATCTGATTTTTGTTTTTCTTTTTTTTTTTTTTTTGGTGAGGAAGACTAGCCCTGAGCCAACATCCATTGCCAATCCTCCTCTTTTTGCTGATGAAGATTGGCCCTGGGCCAACATCTGTGCCCACCTTCCTCTACTTTATATGTGGGACACCTGCCACAGCATGGCTTGATGAGTGGTGTGTAGGTCTGTGCCCAGGATCTGAACCCACGAACCCTGGGCCACCGAAGCAGAGCGCACCAACTTAACCACGACACTGGGCTGGCCCCTCATCTGATTTTTCTTAGAAGAAAGGCACTGTATAGAAAGCCAGAGAACCTTTAATAGGTTTTCCTCTAGGGAGTGAGAGGTAAAAGAAACCTAATATGATGAGGTTTCAAGTTCAGGAAATGCTTCCTGTCTCTCAAATGCATTTGCAACACAGTACACTAACTGCATTCACTGTGTTCCCTGCACCCCAAACATGCAGCCTGGGGTGCAGGGAACACAATTTAGACAGTCCTTTCCTTTGGCATCAACACAGGTCTGATCCTCACTTGGCTGCAGCACAACCCACCCATGTACCCATACTGGCCAAGTGTCCTCTGCTTGGAGGGGTCCCTTGGGGCCCACCCAGCCCCATACCCACTGTGCTGGCCTCCTTCTGGAGCGTCTCTCCAAGCTTCTTGTTCTTTAGGTGCAGATCTGCTAGCTGGGCTCCAAGCTTTGCAGCATGACTGTGAAATCAAAGGCAGCAACTAACTACAGGACACAAACGTGAGTATACACCCATCCGAAAGGCCTCAGGCCACATAGAGTAGGTCAAATATATATTTTGAGGACATAAAGTTTATTTTGGTGAAGTAAGGGGGAGATGAAGGGCCCTGATCACTTGACAGCCCTTCCAGCCTCCTCTGAGCTTGTGGCCAGGTCCTTGTCAGCCCCTCACCTTGAAAGAGTCCTTTCCTGTCTGCCTCTGGCCACAGAACCCCTTAGGTGTGGCATCACAGGTTCCTCATAGCACGTGCCTCAAAATTATACCCCCCAATACAAGCTCCAGGTATGAAGGTACCACTCAGAGGAAAACAAAGCCAACAAGAGGGAAGGTGCCAAGACACACCTGCTCAGAGACGACATGTCCAAGTGCTCCATCACCAGCATGCTGCCGCCTCCGGGGGCATCGAGCACCTTGATGGGTCTGGGCACTCGCACTGTGCCTGTTTCCAGGATGGCAGTTAAACTTGCCATCTCACCTTCAAACATTCTTCTGGCCTGGAGAAAAACAATGGAGGAGGGGAGAGCAAGACTGCTTCCGCAGAGGCTCTGTGGAGACACGTGTGCTCAGGCACCACAATTTTAAACCAAGGCTATCCTGACATGGACAGTTGGTCGGCTTTTCAGGAGCGGAGAGCGTACATTCTGAAGCTGCGCAGGAATAAGAGGGATTGCACTTTCTAGTACTAGACTCTATTTTTATGCTATTGTTGAATCCAAAGTCTCTCCACATGGAGGGAAGTAGAGGCTACTAACTAATATTCCACTAAGCGCCCGGCACAGAGCTGGACTGTGAACACGGGTCATCCCCACACAGCACCTCAACCACAATCCCGCCCACCTGGCCCCTCAGGCGCAGGTGACCCTCCATCCGCATATGCCAGGAAACTGGGGTCACTTTTCACCTGAATGGACCACCAGGTTCTATGGCCTCTCCTACCTAGCACTGAAAACCACCTCATCTCAATGCCAGTTCCATCCTGTCCAGAAGTCCTCATTCCCCCTGGACTGCAGTGACCCTCCTCCACCTGGTCTCCCTGCTCCCACTGCAGTGACCTTTAGAGAAGGCAGATCCCACCTTGAACACACCCCAGCTACCAACCCTGCCTGCTTCCCGCGTGACAGCCCCACAGGGTCTGGCCCTGCCCACCTCCCCACCCTCATCTGGGGCTCCGCCCCTACACTTGCATGCACACACACCACCCCGCATTGCTCCTGGATCACAACCTTCTTTCAGTTCCTCAAAGACCCCCTGGCTTCTCCAGCCTCAGAGCCCTCACATGCCACGTCACCTCTGCTTGGAACACTATCCCCCATCTTTTGCCAAGTGAGCTCCTTCCTCGTCCTGCTTCAGATTTCAACTAACACCAGTCTTGATTTCGCAGAGAAATCTTCCCTAACTTCCCAGATGAGGTAATTCCTCCCCTTTAAAGTATCTTTTTCTTTTATTAAGTAAAAATGCTACAGAAGTACATGCAGAGAAGTGCAAGCTCAGAAGCATCCAAGTCTAATTCTCACAGTCAGCACAGCTGCGTGACTTCCGTCCGGTGCAGGGACGGCCGTTACGGCCCAGAGGCTCTTCTCCCCAGCCACCACCGTCCCCCACCACGCAGATTTGTTCTGTCTGCTTTGTCATTCTACACACAGGGGCAGGTGGCCTGGCTTCTCCGTCACATTGATTGCATCAACAGTCAGTTTATTCTCACTGCTCTATAGAGTTCTGCAAATATTCCAGAATGCATTCATCCAGGCTACTGTTGATGGACAGCTGGGCTTCCAGTTTGGGGCTACTACAAACAGTGCTGCCATGGACTTATTCTCATAGGTACTAACTCTGACGTTGGGCAAGTTACTTAAGCTCTCTGTGCCTCAGTTTCCTCATCTGTAAAATGGGGTTGATAACAGTACCAATTTCATCCTCTTGCTGACATGATTAACTGAGTTAGCAGCTAACACCTACATTGTCCATTCTAAACACTTTATAAATATTATTATTATATAAATCATTATATGGAGAGCTACAATTGCAGAGAAGGAAGAACAGAACTGTGTCTTAAGGAGAATTTTCAGAGCATTCTCTTTAAAAGATAAAGGGAAAACAACTGGGCCTTGGCCACGCTTTATACTGGAGCACTGGTTGTGAAGAGCAAAGTAAGGGACAGAACTTTTAAGAAATGCAGGGAGGGGCTGGCCTGGTGGTGTAGTGGTTAAGTTTGCGTACTCCACTTCAGCAGCCCCGGGTTCGCAGGTTTGGATCCCGGGTGCAAGCCTACGCACCACTGCTTATTAAGCCATGCTGCGGCAGCATCCCACATATAAAGCAGAGGAAGATGGGCACGGATGTTAGCCCAGGGCCAATCTTTTTTTTTTTTTTTAATTTTTTGTTTATTGCAGTAACATTGGTTTATAACATTGTAAAAATTTCAGGTGTACATCATTGTACTTCTATTTCTGCATAGAGTACATCATGTTCACCACCAAAATACTAATTACAACCGATGTTAGCCCAGGGCCAGTCTTCCTCAGCAAAAAGAGGAGGATTGGCATCAGATGTTAGCTCAGGGCTAATCTTCCTCACCAAAAAAAAAAAAAAAAAAAAAAAAAAGCAGGGCGAGATGAAGAAGGATCTGTGAACCCAGCCAGAGGCCAAGGCATCTCACAAAAATATCTACCGCTATGTGGTCCTGAGTGTCTAACTAACCCTAGGAACACTGCCACTTAGAGTGGAACCAGGTAAAGTCGGTATCAGTGGGGGTGCCGTGATAGCAAAGATCTAGAACTGAAGGGCGGAGTATGATACACTGTGCAAAGCACAGATAAGAATAATCATGAGGGGGCTGGCCAGGTGGCATAGCAGTTAAGTGCACACGCTCTACTTCGGCGGCCTGGAGGTCACAGGTTCAGATTCTGGGCACGGACCAACACACTGCTTGTCAAGCCATGCTGTGGCGGCGTCCCATATAAAGTGGAGGAAGATGGGCACAGATGTTAGCCCAGGGCCAGTCTTCCTCAGCAAAAAGAGGAGGATTGGCATCAGATGTTAGCTCAGGGCTAATCTTCCTCACCAAAAAAAAAAAAAGAATAATTAAGAGGAAAACAACCTAGGCCAGGTCAACTCAAGCAGGGGTGAGAAGGAAAACAGAAGAGCAACAAGGTAGTCTTCTCTTAGAAGTCTGGAGGAAGGAAGAGCATAGAGAGTCCCTTCTCCATACAGCCAGCAAAGGCTGACGCTACGGCCAGTACATCTGCCTAACTCACAAGTATTCCAAAACATGGTAGAAACGACATGTTTGGAACTATTAGTAAAGGACTAGAAGGACCTTACCTGAGGAAGATCAGCAAAAAGAAAATGACTCTGACGACAAAATAAAAAGTGAATAAGAACCCAAAGAAACAGCAGCAGCAGAACAATGTTTAAAAATCATCACTAGGGGCCGGCACGGTGGCGTAAGTGGTTAAGTGTACGCGCTCCACTGCGGTGGCCCGGGGGTTCACTGGTTCGGATCTGGGGCACGCACCGATGCACTACGTGGCAAGCCATGCTGTGGCGGCGTCCCATATAAAGCGGAGGAAGATGGGCACGGATGTTAGCCCAGGACCAGTCTTCCTCAGCAAAAAAAGAGGAGGGTTGGCAGATGTTAGCTTAGGGCTGATCTTCCTCACACACACACAAAAAAAAGCATCACTAAGTGGTTCTGTTTTAATCAACGGAAAATACTTGCTTCCCCTGTAATCAACACCAAGTTGTGAATTACTACAAATGCCAGTGAAGGTGGAAATACAGACATGAAAAGTATGGCTGCCACATAAGAGGAGAAACCCAGAGAAGCCCTGCAGCAGGTCAGGAAAGACGCACCACTACATTAGCGCTGCTTGGGGTAAATTGAGATAAGAGTAACTTCAAGCACGAACAATTGACAAATTCCTATAAAAGGGATGACAGGCAGCTGACCTCTGTAAAGCAAAGGGTTGAAGGTTGGTCTCCAGAGAACAGCAGCCCTTCAGAAGGAGATCATCCCACATGGTGGAAGGTGGGATCCACTCCTGCAAAGAAAACTAAAATAACTGCCAGGATGATTTCTTTCTTTCTTTCTTTTGTGAGGAAGACTGGCCCTGAGCTAACATCCAATGCCAATCCTCCTCTTTTTGCTGAGGAAGATTGGCCCTGGGCTAACATCCGTGCCCATCTTCCTCCACTTTATATGGGACACCGCCACAGCATGGCTTGACAAGTGGTGCGTGGGTGCGCGCCTGGGATGGGAACCTGCGAACCCCGGGCCGCTGCAGCGGAGCGCGCACACTTAACCGCCAAGCCACTGGGCCGGCCCCCCGGATGATTTCTTTTTTTTTTTTAAAGATTTTATTTATTTATTTTTCCCCCCCAAAGCCCCAATAGATAGTTGTATGTCACAGCTGCACATCCCTCCTGTTGCTGTGTGTGGGACCCGGCCTCAGCATGGCCGGAGAAGCGGTGCGTCGGTGCGCGCCCGGGATCCGAACCCGGGCCGCCAGCAGCGGAGGGTGCGCACCCAACCGCCAAGCCACAGGGCCGGCCCCCAGGATGATTTCTAAGGCAGAAGAGCCCGGCCAGGGTGTGTGACCCATAGGACTAGGTACTGGGGTAAGCACTTTCAGCCCTATGGAAACAAAGCATAGCCCAATCCCGCCCACTGCCTGCGGGAGCCAGCCTGGGCCTTCAAGCCGGCAGTACTGGAGTGACCCACCCCAACTGGGCAAAGAAGTCCCCCAACAACCAGGCCCGAGCACCACTTCAGCAGTGAGGCTCACGATCCTCCGCAGGGCCGTCGAGAAAAGTCCATACACAAACAGAACGCAGTGGCCAGCTGCATTGGACTGAATGTCCTGTCCCCCCAAAATTCCTATGTTGAAACCTACCCCCAACATGACGGTGTTAGGCAGTGGGGCCCTGGGACACGACTAAGTCATGGGGGTGGAGCCCACCACCGGATACCTGAGGACGCGGGAGAAGGGGCCTCACCAGGCACGGAACCTGCTGCGCCCCGGATCTTGGCTTCCAGCCTCCAGACCGTGGGAAATAAATGTTTGCTACGCACCGGGTCTACGGTATTGTGACAGCAGCCTGGACGGACCGGCAGGGGCTACGGTATGTCCAATATCTCAGAAAGGGTTTGGATCCCCGCAAGTTCACAGACCCCAGGACAAGGGCGTCTCCTACCTGCCTCTATTCAAAACTGGCCCAACACAAGGGATTTTCCCAAAGTAGCGGCCACATCAACCACGGGAAAACCCTCCACAGCATCCACCGTCCACACTGCAGGATCCCGGCCGCACCCGGGAGGCCCGTGGGCGCCGCGGCGGGTCACGCGTGGGACAGGCCCGGACGGACCACTAAGGACCCGGTGTGAGAGCAACGCAGGGCTGGGCCCAGACACAGCCCGCAGTCAAGACCGGTCACCGGGTGCCACTGTGACCGCCCTGCCTGCCCGCACTCCGGACAAGGACGCCGGACCACTACCCCCGACCCCGGACGCCCACCCGGACATCGGACCCTGGACCCCAGACCTCGGACCCCGGACCCTGATCTCGGGCTCCAGACCCTGGACCCCGGACCCTGACCTCGGACCCCGGACCCCGACCCGGACCTCGGACCCCGACCCCGGACCCCGACCTGGACCTCAGATCCCGACCCGGACCCCGGACCCCAACCCGAACCTTGGACCCCGACCCAGACTTCGGACCGTGGACCCCGACCCCTGACCCGGACCCCGACCCCGACCCGGACCCTGGACGCCGGACCTCGGACCCCGTCCCCAAAACCCCTGCCCGCGGCGGCTCTGACCTCCGCCTTGGAGTTCACTTTCACAAACACTCGTCCTCTGTCCGTGTCATAACTCTGGCCCTGGCTAATGCACCCGCTTCCGGAGTGACCCATGGCCTTGACGGAGCTGCAGCCCAGCTCCCGCCTCAGCACCGCCTCCATGTTCCCCGCGTCCCGGGCGCCAGCCAGCCTCAGGCCTCAAGGAGACGCCGCGACGGTGCGGGGACGCGCGGGGATTGGGTGAGGGGCGGGAGGGGGCGGGACTGGGCCACGGAGACGCGCGGGGATTGGGTGAGGAGCGGGACGACGTCGTGGTTGGGGCGGGGCCTGCTCCTTACCGGCCATGAGGGCCTGGTGGCTCTACCTCTGAGCTTGCCTTTGACCTGCCCTTGACCTTGTGTGGCCTTTGCCGTGGCCTGACTTTTCCCTGACTCTGCCTTTCCCTGGCCCTGACCCTGCCTCCGCCCGCTGGCCTGCCCTTCTCTGGGCACAGCCCCTGCTCCAGCTCGCTGCCCTCTGCTCTGTGTCCCCTCTGCGCCGGCTGTCCTTGTCCCCTGTTTGCCAAGTCTCTGTCGTGTCCTTCAGCCCGAGGTCAGAGGGTCACCTCACAGCATTCCCTGACCTGGGCGGCTCCTGCAACACCCTTGGGGGGCTATCTTACTCTTTTTGTTTTGCACACGATTATTCAATTAGCATCTGTCTCCCCAATTAGACATTAGAGATTTGAGGGCAGAATAAAGTCTGCTTTGCCCGGTCTTAGTCAGGTTATCCAGAGAAACTGGACCAACAGGCTGTCTACAGGGAGAGAAATTTATTTAAAGGAACTAGCTCACACAGTTGTGCAGGTGCAAGACCAAAACCTCAGGGCAGGCTGGCAGGCAAGGCCCAGGGAAGTGTTCTGCTGGCAGAGAATTCCCTCTCCCTGGAGGAGGTCACTGTCTGTTCTAGTCAGGCCTTCAGTGAGTGGATGAGGCCCACCCATACTGTGGAGGCTTTACTCAAAGTCCACAGATTTCAATGTTAATCTCATTAAAAACAGCTTCATAGAAACATCCAGAATAATGTTTGACCCATCAAAGCAAAAAGACCAATAATCATTCTGACGGTGGTCAAAACCTTGTTTATGACTCGTTTCACAATTTCCGTGAGACTCCACTCAGTCTCACATGCCCCTGCTTACTCAGTCGCCTCTGGCTGGGAGTGAAGGAATTTACCTCAGGAGGTAATCAATGACTTTAATCTCCTGCCTACGTGTTCCTTGAGGCCAACTTTACCTTGGAATGCAAGGACAAGTCTCATCCATCCGTGCCCTTGCCCTAATCTTTGAGGCTAACCAGACCACCTAATATTTTCTCTTTTCTCATTTCTATAGAATAGTAAAATAGCCAAAAATGGTATATATTGGCCCTGCACAGACACTTCCAGGCAGCAGCTCTCTACTGCCCAGGGGTCCTGTCCCCATTCTGAACACAAAATAAAGGTGCACAAAAGAATGAGCAGCTCATATCTGAAAATTCTTTTTAGACTCACAACTCAGGGGCCCCACATCAATTTTATAGATAAGAGAGATAAGTGAGTTTTACTTGAGCCAGGGTGAGGATTATAACCCAGGAAGGCTAGGATTATTTTCCAGAAAGGAAGAAAGTGCTCTGGGGAAGCATGGATTTCAGTACAGTCTTATACCATGTTAGAACAAAGAACAGGGCCGGCCCCGTGGCTTAGCAGTTAAGTGCGTGTGCTCCGCTGCTGGTGGCCCAGGTTCGGATCCCTGGCGCACACCAACGCACCGCTTCTCCGGCCATGCTGAGGCCGCGTCCCACATGCAGCAACTAGAAGGATGTGCAGCTATGACATACAACTATCTACTGGGGCTTTGGGGGGAAAATAAATAAAATTATAAAAAAAAAAAAAAGAACAAAGAACATACATTAAACATGCCCAGAATACACACTCATCAAAGTTTCAAAGAGGTATTCAGTCGCAAATTAGCAGGTCAACATGACCCTGATGTCCCGGAAAGGGAACTTCTCTTCAGGAACACTGATAGGGGCATTACCAATACTGATGGGCATAGGAGGGGAAGTATGCATTCCTGTCTTAAAAGAGTGCATTCTTCTACTTTGAGATAATGTTTAATGCACTCTTGACTTTAATGGTTAAAGCAGATGTACGATGTATGTCTGAAAGGCCATAAGTCATGCTTTTTAGTTCAAGCTGAATCAGTGTTGAACCAGAATAGCTACCCTATACCTCAATATGTGAAAATCTCTTGTCAGACCAAATATCTGAGCACCGTGCCCCAGCCAAGTTGACACATAAAATTGACCGTCACATTCCCATTGTTTCCCAATGCTTAGCACGATGTACAACGCCAGTCTTGTTGTGAGCATTCAATGAGAATGTGCTAAAACAATGAATGAATGAATAATAACTGTGACCTTAAAGATTGAAGATTTAAGGAATAAGAGCAGATGAAGAAAGTTCTATTTGCAGATTGTTTGGACCCACCTTCCTCCTGAAAATGATACCGAACCTCTTAATCTCAAGTTTGGTCCCCGATGCGCAATAAGCCAAACATTGAGACATCAGTCCTTGGAGATGGAGAAAGTTTTATTCGAATTGACCAAAACAAGAAGGTGGGAGCATAGGTTCTCTCAAATCCATCTTAACAAGGGAAGAAAGCAGAGGGTTTTACAGAGCTAAGGGGTGTGGTAGGAGGAGTTTTGGAGAAATAAAGTGGTAATCTGTGTTTCTTTCACTCCTGATAAGCCCATTGGGCAATGTGACTTCTGGGCATCAAGGGCAGCTGGGGGCTGGTTATCTGGTGATCCTTAAAGGCATTCCCTTTCTTCTGTAAAACAAGTTCATAAATCTTTGTGACCCTTGAGTTACCACTCAGGTTAAACAGGAAAACAGTAAATTGACAAGATTAACTTCTTTTCATAACAAGGTCAAAAGGTAATCTTATGGAATATTTACAGTAACCCTCAGGTACCTGACTTCAAAAACAACTAGAGGGGCTGGCCCCGTGGCTTAGGGGTTAAGTGTGCACGCTCCGCTACTGGCAGCCAGGGTTCGGATCCGGGCACGCACCGATGCACCGCTTGTCTGGCCATGCTGAGGCGGAGTCCCACATACAGCAACTAGAAGGATGTGCAACTATGACATACAACTATCTACTGGGGCTTTGGGGAGAAAAAGGGGGAAAAAAAAGGAGGAGGATTGGCAATAGAAGTTAGCTCAGAGCCGGTCTTCCTCAGCAAAAAGAGGAGGATTAGCATGGATGTTAGCTCAGGGCTGATCTTCCTCTCGTAAAAAAAAAAATTGATTGTACAGAACAACGTCTTGAGTGATTTTTTTTAAAAAAGAAAATTTTTTAATAATTATTTTTTCTATTTTAATTTAAAGGGGTGAATTGTTCTAAAGTCTCTGTGTTGGGGGCTGGCCCAGTGGCGCAAGCAGTTAAGTGTGCACACTGCACTGCCGTGGCCCGGGGCTCGCCGGTTCGGATCCCAGGCGCACATCGACGCACTGCTTGGCAAGCCATGCTGTGGCGGCATCCCATATAAAGTAGAGGAAGATGGGCATGGATGTTAGCCCAGGGCCAGTCTTCCTCAGCAAAAAAAGAGGAGAATTGGCAGATGGTAGCACAGGGCTGATCTCCTCACTAAATAAATAAATAAATAAATAAAGTCTCTGTGTTGTTCAAGAGAAGGATAAAGGTAATGATTATCTTTAGTCTTTGACAAATTAAATATGCATATTGTAATTTCTTTTTTTTTTTTTTTTTGTGGGGAAAAATAGCCCTTAGCTAACATCCATGCTAATCCTCCTCTTTTTGCTGAGGAAGACCGGCTCTGAGCTAACATCTATTGCCAATCCTCCTCCTTTCTTTTTTTTCCCCAAAGCCCCAGTAGATAGTTTTTTTTTTTTTAATTTTTTTTATTTATTTATTTTTTTCCCCCAAAGCCCCAGTAGATAGTTGTATGTCATAGCTGCACATCCTTCTAGTTGCTGTCTGTGGGACGTGGTCTCAGCATGGCCGGAGAAGCGGTGCATCGGTGCGCGCCCGGGATCCAAACCCGGGCGGCCAGTAGCGGAGCACGGGCACTTAATGGATAAGCCACGGGGCCGGCCCAGTATAATGTAATTTCTAAGGTAAGGACTGAAAATAGAAAGAGAGGGGGCCTGCCGGTGGTGTAGCGGTTAAGTGCGAGCACTCTGCTGCAGTGGTCCGGGGTTCACAGGTTCGGGTCCCAGGCTTGGACCTGGGCACTGCTTGTCAAGCCATGCTGTGGCAGCATCCCATATAAAGTAGAGGAAGATGGGCACGGATGTTAGCTCAGGGCTAATCTTCCTCACACACACACACAAAAAAAGAGAGTTTATAACTCTCTTTGTCTCTAATTCTTCTATGTGGGATGTCGCCTCAGCATGGCTTGATGAGCTATGAGTAGGTCTGCACTCAGGATCCAAACCCACGACCCCCAGGCTGCCCAAGCGGAATGTGCGAACTTAACCCCTGTGCCACGGGGCCGGCCCCTATATGTTCTTTATAAGACCGAAAAATAAAGCATAAAAATAAGAAAGGTTAGGGTCGGCCCCGTGGCTTAGTGGTTAAGTGCGCGCGCTCCGCTGCTGGCGGCCCGGGTTCGGATCCTAGGCACACACCGACGCACTGCTTCTCCAGCCATGCTGAGGCCATGTCCCACATACAGCAACTAGAAGACTGTGCAACTATGACATACAACTATCTACTGGGGTTTTGGGGAAAAAAATAAATAAAATTTAAAAAATAAATAAATAAAATAAGAAAGGTTAGAAAAAGTACCATGCAATCCTAGCCTAAAGAAAGCTATAAATATCAGTGTTTGATATGAGACAAGCAGATTTTAAGGCAAGCACACTTCCACATCACACAATTCCAGGGGTGTCAGCCACACAGACTGTGCTGTAAACTCCCTGGAGCTGTGCAGTGCAACAGGCTGGCAAAATGTGTTAGACACCGTATAATGAGGAAAGGTTTATACACTGGGAAGGAAGAACAAGTTCGAATGTGTATATATCCTCACACAGGGCAAATGGCATCCCTTAAGCTGTGCTGTGCGCAATCTGCATAATGATATTTGGTGCCTCTGCCTAAAAGGAAAGGCAAAACTGTAACTCTTTCAGAAAAAAATCTAAAAGAAAGGTATGGAAGGATG